ATCTTTCTGTTTTTCACTCTATCTGGAAAGCTGGGGTGGTCCAAATGCTGTGTTGCATGATCCAGCTTAAGAGCAATTCCTTGGGTGCTTTTACCCTTGCAGTTGTGGCACATTTTCAGCCGGATCTGGCGGGCAGGAGGGTCGTGCACACAGGCAAATTGCTGTGATTTTGAGCCATAGTTCAAGTGCCTTCAATCTTCTTCTAAGAAGCTCTTCACTGTGAATTACCTTGATCATCTGTCTTCTATATATGTTCCACAGAAGCATCTCAGTGCTCGGTTTATCTCAAGTCTCAGGAGTTTACACTTTTCAGGAGTGTTTTGTTTGGGGATTTTAGAAGCTCAACCTCCCTGGTGTGGGTTTTTTTTTCCCTACTCTTCCATTAATTTTTAAATCTCCTTGTTTGGCTCTTAATGGTGGTTCTGATTTGACTGGCAGGGTTTTTGGGAAGACTTTCTCTGCTACTGCATTAGCTGTGAGGTGACCGGTAACAAATGCATGTTCCAGCCCCTTGCTGAGTTGCAGCTTCGTAATAGCTGGGGGGCAGAACTCCCGAGTGCTTTTGTTCATGCAATGAAAATGAAGCTGGAATGACACCTAGTGGCAAATTGTAGTGTTTCCATGCACAGCCCTCTCTGTTTCCTTCCCACTGTTCCTGGGTGAGATGCTCTTACAAAGAGGAATCTGGGTTTGGTGTGCTGAGTGATGGTCATGGACCACACCTGCAGTCCTCATGCTCAGCAACATTCTCAGCATGTCACCATTTTATCCTGTAGTGATCCTGAAGAGCAATTAGACAACACAGGGATGAGCATGTGCACCCACTGGAATGTATCAACCCCCCAGCATCTCAAGGAGGTGCTCACCAGCACCTGCCTTGGGGAGGCATCTTGGGTGACACTGGGAGAAAGCAAAGCCTAAAGACACCGAGGCTGGAAACATTAGGTTTGGGAATTTTTCCTATCATGAGATACAATGGAGTAGTTCAGGGTGTTGCTTTCCAGCATATTCTGTTTCAAGGGAATGCAGTTGTAAGGAGTAAAGGGAATGACCGTTGGTTGTCTTCTGGAACTTAGCAGTACTATGTAAAACATCCCCGTTGTTTTGTCCTGGGAGTTTGGCTGCTTTCTTGGGGGAGAAATTTACGGCTTCAAAGCTTGTGGCCTGTCAGTTCCCTGGTTTTTATATACTTTTTTTTAAGGGTTATTGGAAAGGAATGTGAAAAGGTCTTCCAGAAAGAACATTAGGTGGTCTGCAGATTTACGTTTAGATTTTGAATATATCATGTATTTTTCTATGCATTTTGATAAAACAGCAATTACTTGTCCATGTTTGATTTACTTCTCACCCTTCACAGTCTTCTAAAAACCTAACATGTAAACCCAGTGGTGGTAGAAACCTCTCTTCCTTCAACCCAGAAGAAGTCTGTGCTATTTAACTCTCAACTTGTGAGCATCCAGAGGCTCCTGCCAGTCCCTGGACTGCATTGCTCTTGGAAATGAACAACTGTATGTGAAGGCTTTATAGCCATGACAGGAGTGTAAGCACAGATAAAAGGGCCATGACCTGGCTTTGGTAGTGATGTGGAAACCAGCTGCAGGGAAGGGATTATGTTGCAGATTTATGTTGGAAATGATAAACCCTCAAATGTTAACTTTTTGGAATTTGGTTATTTTCTTCTTGTAGTCAGATGTTTTCTGCTTTGTTAATTTACTCCTCAATTTCTCAATCCTGTTTTCTACGTGGGTGTTTGGCTGAAGTACTAATACAGTCAACTTTGATGCAGTGCACAAACTGGAATAGGAGGCATGGGCAATGTGACCATTTGGCAGTAGCTCTGGATTTGGCTCTGCAGGAGCTGTGGTGAGTCCTGGAGCAAGATAAAAGCAGCTGTACCATGTCCTGCAGGTGTGAGAAGGCTCCCTTTGGGGGCCCTACAGTGCAGGCTTAGCAAAAGATGGTCTTGTACAACAGAGGACAACTAGTGTGTGGCTGTTAACAAGCCTGTTATGAGACAGCATGGGACCGTATTCTTATTATAAGTGGTGATACTAAAAATTTGGAGGGTTTGAGGTGAGTTAAATTAAAATCTCAATTGTTCGACTTACTCTCTTTTCTAAATGAAATACAGAGATTGGCTTTTTTGGGGGGATCACAGCCTCTGGAGGAGTTGGCAATCTTTTGTCTGGCAGCAGTTGGAGCCCTGGGATTTGCAGGGAGGGTGGTTTTGTTCTGGCCTTTCATCAGCTTGGCTTCATCCTGGAAAATACCACAAAGTGCCTATGCCACTCGGTGCCAGATGCCAAGTTGCCTACACCACTCTGGGGAGGTTTTTGTTGCTTTTTTTGACCATTCAGTCTCGTCTTTGAGCCTGGATGAAGATCACAGCTCCTGGGTGCTCCAGAGGCAGGTGCCTGCATGTCACTTGTGCCTTACTGTGCGGTAGATTTGCCATAATAAGAAATGTGAAGCAGCAGGATGCATGGTGGCAATGTCATTGTGGAGCTTGGTACCTTCCACCCTTGGTGTCTCAGTGATGGAGGGAGCTCTGCTGCCTGATGGCAGTTCTTTCTTCTCCCACTGTCCTCCCCTGCATGGTGATTCCATGGGTCCCTTGCGTGTGATGTGACTGTTGCACTGTGTTTGTCTGCTGAATGTGGAAGAGCTGTGCAGCCTTGGCCAGGTGGGTTGCGAATGAGCAGCTCCTGCATGGATGCCCAGATGCCATGAGTTTTCCTGTTGCCTTTCACTATGGAAAGACACCTCCCTGGACACTGTTGGGGCTGGAGATCTGCCAGCACTCACTGTTATTTTTGGTCGCTGAATTTCCAGTGCTGGCTTGGAATGGTTTGGAGGTAATTCTGGTTGCATCCCGTTCATCTCCTTACATGGCTGTTTCGAGAAGCATCCAGTTCTGTGACTTGCCTTTTGAGTCTTTACCCTTAAAACTGTCTTGTTAGGATGAGGGTTTGAATGTTTGTAATTAGTCTATAATGTTACAATAAGTGTACAGAATTATTTATTTTGTGTACTCAGTCTGCTAAACATGGAAGTGTATCTGTGTACTCCATCGCTCTGCTGTTGTTACTGCTGCCTCATAGAATCAAAAACTAAGTTGGAAAATACCTTTAAGATCATCAAGTCCAACTGTTCCCCAGCACTGCCAAGGCCACCACTGAACCATGTCACTAAGGGCCTCATCTACACAGTTTGGGAACATGTCCAGGGATGGTGACTCCATCACTGCCCTGGGCAGCCTGTTCCAATGCCTGAACACCCTTTCCAGGAAGAAATTATTCCTAATCTCCAGTTTAAACCTTCTTTGGTGCAGCTTGAGGCCACTTCCTCTTGTTCTATCCCTTGTTCCTTGGGAGAAGAGACCAGCCACCTCCTGGCTCCATCCTCCTGCCAGGCAGTTGTAGAGAGCGATAAGGTCCCCCCTGAGCCTTCTCTTCTCCAGACTAACTCCCCTGCCCCCCCCCCCAGCCATCACATACCTAAACACAT